GGGGGGGGGGGGGGGGGGGTGAGGATTTTGCATAAATATTCCGAAAATGAAAGACGTTTTAATATTACCTTTCCTTTCTCATTGAGTTGTAACATCCATTCCACTATAACCGTTGATTTCCAAAAAGAACGACTTAGATGAGTTTTTAAAGGTTGTATAATTTGCTAGCTTTACACATGATTATATATACACACACATAACTATATGGTTGAGTTCTCATGAGAAAATAGGCATGATAATGAGCCCCGACTTGTCGAGGAACCCGGTCCACCCGCCACGGTCGGGGATGGGGATTCCCCGCTAAAACAGGGACGGGGACGGGGACGGGGACGGGTATGGTACTCCCTGCCTCACCCCGCCCCGTATCAATTATAGATATTAATTAATAAATTACATGTATATCTATACATATATATATATATATATTATTTCAACTAAAACGTTAATTCATAATTTCCTATTTCCTGACTAGGTTTATAATCTAAAATTGTTATTTTTTAGATGTTAATATGCATTTTTTTGGATGTCAAGTCAAAATACAATTACTCGATAAGTTTTATATATTACTTGAAATGTTTTATATTACTCTATCTTTTGATACATGTGAATTTAAGTTTTTCTTGATTAAATTAAAAAAATTGGTTTTAGGTTATTAATTCTTTTATGATATGGTTTTTTTATATTAAATTAAATTCATTTTAATTTTAGGTTTATTGAAAATGTTTGAGATTTAAACATGTATGGTCTCTCACATATTTAATTTAAAATAACTTGCATAAACCGAAAAAAAAATCCTCGTTTCCCCGTTGGGGATCCCCATTCCCTATTGGGGATAGGGATGGGGATGCAATTATATTTCCCGGCAGGGATGGGGACGAGGACGGGGATAAAGATAAGTAATCGGGGACAGGGATTAAGGTCCCTGTCCCATCCCCGCCCCGTTCCCATGTCTATGAGAAAATGTCATTTTCCATGAGAAGTGCGAGGAATCAAACCTTTACATCATATATGTGAAGGTTATCTTTACATTGTGTGAAGGCGTTTGAAGGTGACAGCTTTCACAGAAAATAGCGGAGATACATATTTAACTGGGTATGTAACTTTCACCACGTTCACAAAATACAAGGTTAATATTAACCCAATATAAGGGTACATTGACTACTTTTCACGGTTTTCATCAAAAATATTTTTCGTCACATGATCTCAAGCGCTCTCTCTATATATGTGATTCAAGTTCAGCCAATATGAGATTCTTAGCACCATAAATGACTGTATTTTCAAAATACTCTATGAACTGATGAACTACCAAATCATATGAATCCTCGTATGAATTTGAAGATAATTGCATTGATGTACGCTATCTTATGCTTAATAATATGTTTTTAATAGTTTTTGTCGTACTATATTGGAGCGGAACGTTATAAATCCAGCAAATTGATTGGATACAGAATATCCTTTATATGTGGACATTAAGAATGTGGACCATTTAGTATGATCCAAAAATCATTTAATAAGCATGAATTGTACATGGCCCTTTGCTTCCAAATGTTATCATTACAGTTAAATCTGACTATTAAATTACTAGAATGACGAAATGACCTACTCAAAGGACTATGATCCCACTACAAGGATGAGTTAACTCAAAAACCCATCCTCAGTTTCGATCAGAGGTTGCAAGACTTAAAAAACCGACATGACTGGTTTTCATGATTCGGTTTATGGTAGTTAATCGGCTGATTAGCAATTCAGCCAACGAAATAGGACTACTTATACAAACAAAACCTTGATATTATAATTTAGCTCGATTATAATTATAGTAATAAAAATTTTCATCTGAGTCAAAATCGACATTAATTAGCCTACAATTATATCCTTATTTGTCCTTATAATGTTCGACGCGTTAGTTCTACCTCAGATATTTGGTATTCTAAATGGTCTAATTATTCCTTGTCACTTTTACTTTACAAGTTACATCTTGGATGATGTTGGCTCCACTTTCACTTGATATCAAGGTTATTATCAACCACAGCTGCGTTATCAAAGTCTGGGCCAACAATGATACAATACTCCAAAATTCAAACCAGAAAGAAAGAAATACCTCAAAGATCAAAAGTAGATGACGAAAATTTCAAAAGATTGGGAGCATCAGGGGTGGGGTCGCGTGATAATCTTCATAGTTCAGGAGACCAAATGTCAGATTCTTAGGGACTTGAAAGAACTATTTTGTAAATATTGAACTAAATGGCCATCTATGTGTTTGAAAAAGGGAGGGGGGAAGTGTCCCTGTGACTTTCACAAGGACAAAGTAAAAAAAAAGTTTCTCTGTGTGTTTGTTGTCTTATCCTTAACTAATGTGTGCCCCCGTTCATCAAAGGTTTTGGATCCGACATGTGCCGAATAATGGATGGGTTGAGAAACAGGTGTTGGAGGATATTTAATCGAATTCAAATCGTAGATATGGCCATGTCCCTCGATCAATTTTCAAGAAACACACTAAAAACATATAGAAATCAAAGACGAAACACGATGGTTAGTGATAACTCTAATTTTAGAGATATTTCTTATTTATTTCTTCCGTTTTTGCATATTTTAAATACCCAATTTTCTTGTTTATCCCCGTTTATTCTAAAAGTTTTAAAATGATGATGAAACACAAAAGATGAGAATTTATTCCGAAAACATCACTTTGAGACAGTGTCCACAATGTGACCACGGTGGGAAG